TGCGTGTACGTCACGCCGGTCCTGCTGCTCCCGCATTTGCTGAGACACTTCTTGCCATTGGCGATGGACGTGCTCCATATACAGAAAGCGTAGAAATTTCTCAGGAATGGCGTATGGATGCAGCAGACACCATGGGTCTTATAGACGCCATATATCCCAACATAAGCAATCCACAGCCGCAACCTGAAGATTTCAACGCTCGCGCCATATTGGCAGCAAAAAACGTCGACGTCGATGCGATTAACGAGGCAGCCTACGGTATTTTTCCAGGTGAAGGGCGCGATTATGCTGCCAATGACCGTATCATAGACGCTGATGACCCAGAAGCAGCAGTGGTCAACTACCCCGTCGAGTTTTTAAACAGTCTCAGCGCTAATGGCATACCTAGCCATACGTTACAGCTCAAGCCTGGCATGCCTGTAGTGCTCATGCGCAACTTGGATCCCGACGCCGGCCTGTGCAATGGCACAAAATTATTCGTGACAAGGCTTCTTGATCGGTGTATTGCCGTGAAAAGAATTGACCAAGGGCATCGTGGCCCGGAATTTTTCCTTCCACGTATCAATATGTGTACAATGGAAGGAGATTATCCCTTCATCCTCTGCCGCCGCAATTCCCTGTCCGCCCTGCCTTTGCTATGACCATCCACAAAGCGCAAGGGCAAACCCTGCAATATGTCGGTGTCTGCCTTGCAGAAGATGTCTTTGCTCATGGCCAACTATATGTTGCGCTATCTCGGGCAACTGACCCTAACAATCTTCGCGTTGCCATCGATCTCTCAGGGTCTGGACCACCACAAACCACCAACATCGTCTACCAAGAAGTTCTCTTGCATCCGCCGGCCTCTGTTCCTGAACAAGCCGAAAATTCACCACCAACCTCTCCCACAACAACAATCACCGCATTTCCACCTCCATCACCTTAAGCCCTTTTCTGCTCTTTTTCTTTTTGCTTCTAAACTCTTATTTTCACTTATTATCATTTAACGTACAATAGAATATTCTTACCTCTTCACGGTATCTTTCGTAAGTAGGTCTGACGCGAAACAATAAGATATAGAACTACGCGAAGCTGCCGTCACCTTTCAGCTAATTACGACAAGCAGCAATAATCTACCATGATGTTCAAATGAAAGCGGACACATTGATGAACTTTCAAAAATATGTAAGAGCTGTCGATAGCAACAAATAAGTTATCCTCGCATTAACAGTGAAATACCAGTCAAAAGTTCCTCTGTCGTCCCTTTTGATTTGACAAACCAACGTGTAGTAGGGTTTCGTGTCATAGCAATAATGATAACGTTTAGGGTTATATGTAGTCATAGCAATAAATAAGCTCGCGAAGCGAGCTTTGGTTAGGGTTTAGAAGGGGGGTGTGGGGGGAACCCCCACCTTGGGGGTCTGGGGGGAACCCCCAGGAAACATCCAATCCGTTGAATGACCCGGAGCGCAGCGAAGGGGCTCATTCAGCCGAGCGAAGCGAGGCAGGTGGATGTTGATCAATAGAAAAGTGAGAAAGTAGTTAAATGTCCCAATCATTGGGACACTTTTTTGACCTAGTGTATTAGATTACGTGAATATGAGAAACGATGGGCTAGACCATGGGTAGAGGAGTATATGCATCTTGGAGCAAGGTCAACTCAACACATTGAAGGAGCACATGCCGCATTAAGGGATATCTTGGGTAAAGCTGGCAGAATGTTGTGTTTGTTCAAATCATTCCACAAATATCTATGTTCATTGGTGAGTATAACCATTTAAAAATTTGGATATAAAAAAATTGCTAATGTTACAATTGTATTAAAGTTTCTCTGGCATATACGCAACATGAAAAAGAAGCTTTATCAAAGTGGGGGGTGTCACTAAAAATGGTGCACCACTGAAATGGTGCACCGAGATTTGTGACTCAGAAAATATGCTTTTTTCTCTTCGGTTCCTGAAAGAACACTTTGAACTACATTCCAAGTAAAATCTACTATTCAAAATATAACAATGTCCAAATATATTACCTTTTTTCCAAGAATATTTGTTAAAGACTCCTATGAAGAGGAGGCTCCTGCCTATTTTGACTCCAAAAGCGAAAAGTACTATTTTCGACAAAGCATCTACTCCTTCACGACACTCAATCAAACTTACTCAAAACTTTCGATTTTTGACAGGTACGTAAAACTGAATTCAGACATTGGATGGTCTATGTGCAAGGTTTATAGTCCTCGAAAACAAAAGCACAATATCCATCGCTACAAGAAGAAATGCAATGGTTTCGTCCGCTGCACTAGAGAGGCCTGCAAATTCTATGGCAAACATTTGCGCCTATGCTGCGATTTTGAACAAATTTATAAACAATGCCACATTAGGTGTATGCGCTGCGGAGGCGATTTAGAGCACGTTCATACTTGTAAAACAGAGGCGTTCTACTATTTCGACGGCAGTACATGCACTGTTAAGCAGATCGGCACACATGACCACGAATGATATACTGCGAAGTCTATCGGAAGTAGAGAAGGAAACACTGGCAGAGAGAATTCGAAGTGATCCAACAGTGACACCCAAGGCAGCTATTTATGGCAACAATAAGCGAACTGGGGAAATCGTTGAATCGATCATTAAGATCAGCCTAATTCTTGGCACGAGGGATAGAGCCGAGTCTGAAATCAACAAAGTACACGAGGAACGAGATACTGCAAGAAAAGGTGAATATCTCGGTGACTTGCGCAAGATTATGAATGAGTTCCCTGGGTACTTCCTCCACGCCCACGTTCTACCAGGCTCATTCTTTTTGGCGTATCAGTCACCGACTCTTAAAGAATATGTTCACTTTCAAAATTTTCTGCCTGTTACCGATGTCACTTTTAAAGCATTTGAGAAAGGATACTATCTCTGCTCAACAGTGATCTATGTTCCTGAGCTGAAAAAACACACAGTGATCTTCCAAACTGTCCTAGATGGCCTTTCACAAACCTACTTTGCCCAATACTTTTTTGCATTCTTCACAGAGTACAACGTTAAGTTTGAAGGCAGCAACTCCTTTCTTGGTATGATGATGGATTTCTCTTTGGCACAAAGGATAGATTTCTGTAAGCCTACACACAATACACCAGAAAGGATGACGGCATGTGGTTCCTAAAAGGGTGCTATATGCACTGGATGCAATCTGTTCAACGTCTCAACAGCAATCACAGCATCATTCTACCCGAATCCAGCAAACGATTTCGTGAACTGACCTGCATCATTCGGACAACTAAAGATGCTGATGAATTTTGCCATAGTTGTAAGGAACTGGTGACAAATTTCAAGCATACTTTGAAATGGCTCAAATGGTGGCTACAACCATCTATAAGCAGCATGATTTTTCGACATCGCTCCAGCATGAATAACGCCCTCCGCAGCCACCCTTATCGTACCATAAACGCAGTAGAAGCGTTCTATAGAGATTTATACCAAGATAGTGTACACAGCTTGTCTATATCTCTAGCACTTCCACAAACGTTGAATTATATCCACTCAGATGAATTGACACTGAAAAACTATGAAGAAAATGCGGTGTCTGCTTCATACAACAGAGCACCACGACAAACTCGAAAACGATCAAAGAAAAACTTTGACAATGATGGACGTGCTCCGGATGTTTTCAGTAAACTTGTTAATGATGTTACCACCGATCAACAACCACTGGACCATTTTCTTTATGACGACCAAGCTGAAAGCAAGACCCTATCACAAGCAGAAAAAACCTTCAACAAGAGCACCATGCCCTTCGCCCAAAGACTTTCGAAAGAGGATATCAAAGCAGTATCACAGCAAGATATCTTGAATAAGATTGATGAACGCGCCCTGCACCTTTCGGATATGAAAGTTGATCCGTTCACGTTGAAAGAAATTGAGACAATGGCTGAGAACTTGGAGACAGGGTCAGACGAAATGATGCAATATATCATGGGTGGCGAGATGAAGAATGAAAAGAAGAAGCAAGAAGTGAAGGAGAAAATTGCAATGAGCAAGACCAAAGAAAAGATGAAGACAGAGAAGGAAATAGAGAAAACGATGGACACAAAAACTGAAAACAAGCAGAAGAAAAGAAAACAACTGGAAAATGAAGCTGAGGACTTATGGCCAAGTAACAGGAAAAGTCTTCGAAGGGAACCATGGTAATTTTAATAGATTATGGGGAGCGATTGACAGTATAACTGAATTTAATACAATAGTTTTATCCATCGAGAGATCCCGCTCAATTGCTCGTTTGGAATTAAGCAAATCAAAGCTGACATATGGTGTGGATATCGTGCCCTTGCTCTCCAACTTCAAGTGACCAAGATCAATATATCAAGGTCAAACAAGCAATTCTTGATCAGCTTTTTGCGAACTATAATTTCTACCGCAATACTCTATGGAATGGACGTGAGGTCATAATGCAAAATGCGATCAAACGAATGGAATATGGTATTATACCAGAAACAGCACAATACCAGAAGTACACTTGCAGTTCGGATTATTGGTTCAATGTAATAATAGATGCCCAAATTGCTGCAGATGCATATACTGTGCCGATTGCAGTATATGATGATCGCTTGGATTGGAACAGTGTTTTGTACTTGCCTTTTACTATCCCAAAGGGAACCAATCGGCAACTGCAGCCAATAACTCTTTTTCTTAGCTCAAATCACTTCAACGCAATCGACCTCGTTCCATCCAGAGCACGACATATGGAGTGGCCACCCATCAGACCTTATCATGAGATAGGTTGGCATCGTCTTGAACTTAAGGCAGATTACAAGACTACATGGCGGCATCTTCATAGAAGACGCTTGACTGAAAACGAGAAACAATTTTTCATAGACATTGGCACAAGTGTCATATAAAAATAGCAGAATAGAATTTATCAAATATTACTAAATATCATAAATTTCAGTTAACACAGTGCCAGAGCTAAAGTGAAGTTTGGAAGAGAAATTAACGTATAAGATGCATATACGAATGGTAGAAACCGCAGGAGAGAAAGGAATGGTGGGTGCACTTTTCTGGCACTTTGTCGGTGCACTTTTTCTGTGCGCCTCGAACCACCGTCACATCGCTGTCACAAGTCTCGGTGCACCATTTCGGCGGTGCACCATTTTTCGTGTCTCTCTAAAGTGGGTTGTCAAGGATAGGGATGCAGCAATAACAAAAAGAGTATCAGCTCTTTTTGGTATCATTTCGCAATTTGCGATCAACGTCGTTATATCTGAATTGTTTGCTGCTCGCCGTTTGACCCTAGGATCATCGCAATGTAATGGTGGTGATGTCTATGTCAGTTACCGTTTGCTGTGCAGACACTATCTATACGAGCGTAATGACCAAGAAATCTTGCATATGGATATATTTGACAAAGGATGGAAATTGGTGTCATGTACAAGTATGTAACTTATAATGTCGCAGCTAAAGTCAATATTCTGGTATAGAATTAACAGTTCACATGCCACATAGCAAAAGTATCTGAAGAACCTGTCATCGAAGAGCTTAGTACCGATATCAACAGTGTTGAGGTAGATGCATTGGAGCTAGATTATCAAGAACTTCAAGATTGAATGGACAACTTATTTATCAATTCACAGAAAGGTCAACCAAAGCAAGACTTGATATCATATATACATACGGCTTTAGATCAATACAACCAGTACCCATCGAAAATTTAGAGTTGCCGACCGCTGTCAAAACCAAAGGAAGGCCGAAGGGTGCTATTGGGTTGAGGCTACCGTCTTATTTTGAAATTGTCGAATAAGATGCGAAAGAAGAAAAATCAGAAAGAAGATAAAAGTAGCCTGCAGTTACCCTTGGCAAGGCGTTCTATACTTGATACTCTGTTGTGTGAATTAAACTCAGTATAACTGTCGTTATCATCAACGTGAACGTGCCTCGCTTCGCTCGGCTGAATGAGCCCATATGCTATGCTCCGGGTGATTCATATTTGATATTTATTATGCTATTGTGCAATACGTAAGTATAATGGGTTATGATGAGAAGGCGAGGCAGTGACATATGTGTTTGCGAGTACATTGGGAAAGCTAGTAAAAATCACATTGAGAAAAGTGTTGGCTTGTGTTGTGCTGGTGTTGTTAGGGAGAGCAAGGAATAATTTGTGCAGGGTAAAGTAATCAGTCAACTGGGTGGAACGCAAATTAGAATTATTTAGATCGATATTAAAGTCTGCAGCAATAACAAATGCAGTGTTAGGGTTTTTAGTAAAAAGCCCAGTCAGTGCAAAGATTATTGTATCTGTCGATGTATTGGGTCGGGCATAGCATGTTGCGATACCCAGAGGGCCGAAGATGATAAAGGAAACACTAACAGAATGGCTATGTTCATAGCTGTAAGAGGTATCAACGTGACTTACCAGCCGACGTTTCACATATATGCAGGTACCGAAAGGACGTCGCTCAGATAGAGTGTTACTACTGTCTTAGTGGGTCACAAGCGCGAACCCAGGTATACCAAGATCTTGTTCATTGTCTGCTATTGAGCTCCACGTCTCAGCAAATAGTAAGAAATCTGAAGCAAGGTAAACCTCGTCTTGTTGTACCAACGCTAGATGTCGCCTGATGCTTTGTATATTGTGGAACATGAACTGGTATAAATACGCTCTTCGTTTATGCAAAAAGCGAAACGATGCCTCAAGCACGACAGTCTCGAGTCTAGATAGTTCGCATGCCAATGGTCCATCGGCCGGTGGTGGATTTGGTCGTCTGTAAGTTCTAATAAGATAAAGTCGCTCGGCAGTGACAGCACGTGAGCAGGCAACGTACATGAGGTAGCACGTTAACGCTATTGCAGGTAAGTAAACTACCACAGAATGGTACGTTTGACCCTGAGATTTATGTATTGTAACAGCTTCTGCGGGTGCGAGAGGGAATTTTCGACATAAAGCACCAATTGTGGAATCAGGTCTAGGTTTTATTAACCTTGTCGAAACCTCAATAGCGGTCCAACCTTGCTCACTGTGTTGTTCAATCAAATGGCTTCGGCGTCCGCGCAGCTTGCTTCCAGTTATTTCGTTATCAAACTCAATCCAAGCTATCAGCGGCCGTTTCATGATATGTGTGTGCCTCGACTTATTTTTCGCAGGTATCCTGTGGCACCATTTACAAGTCCATCGCCCGTGTAAAGGTTTGTAGTAATTCTATAGTGATAACTTTCTTGTAAAAGCAGATTTGTAGGCAGTCCTATAGTTTGGTTAAGATCAGTCGATTCACTGAGTCATTGGAGTATTGTTCGAGTAGCGCCCTCGATATCATCTCCATTTGCAGTATCAACAGCAATAGATGTAGCAGAGTCAGTATTCATTGACTGCAAAATAGCATCATTACGTGCATTGACTTCTCGGTTTGTGTCGTACAGGTAGATTGGTTGAGATTCGATTGCATCGTCAGGAAGTACTGCAAAAGTCTGAGATTTTAATAACGCGTCATCATCACGCGTCATCGTTCCATTGGCCATGTTGTTTAATGCTCGTGCAAGTGTAGCGTCTTCACGTTTTCGCATAATTGTATTCAATTGATACTTTTGAAACAAATGCCAAAGTAGTCGACCAAAAATATTCAGATGTGGATTATATTCGGGAATAGCATAGATGGCGCGAGCACGAACTGGCGGAAGCTGGTGAAGGTCTCCTACTGCTAGCAAAGATCGACCACTGAATGGCTGGTCATTGCTGAATATATGACGTAAATGCTGATGGACCCAACGCAACATATTTTCAAAGACCATGGAGATTTTGTCTATGATTATTACTCGTAGTTCCCAAGTGCGGTATGCATAGTGTTGGAAACATCAGCCGAGAGATTGATGAGATCAGCACCACATGACTGGTTTACTGGTAGATGAAATGCTGAATGTATCGTCTGGCCCGTAATATGACAAGCGGCCATACTGGTCGGCGCACATAAAATGACAGATGGTTTGTCTTGGTTGCGGTCTTGCACGTTTTCTTTGAAGACTCGAATAAGAGTCTGATACAAAGCTTTTATTACCATGCTCTTCCCAGTGCCTAGAAATATATTTGTCAGTCATTTGTCAGTTTTTGAGACTATGGCCGCTAATTACTAAGTCCTAACACATCATACCTGCTCCACCAGTCAAAAAGTAATAAAATAGATGGTCGTTGCTCTGGACGTGATGCTTTACATGATGAGCGAAATCTCTTTGTTCAGTATTCAACGCTACAATCAGTCTTCATATTGATCATTTGTCGAACGATCTGGTTGGACAAATGTCTCCTGATATAGTACTCGCTCATATGCTCCTGTCTAGGGATCCGTATCAGAACCGTAGAACCGGAACCGAACCAAACCGAGACCGAGAAAATGCGGTTCGGTTCCTGTCAAGAACCGAACCGGAACCGAACCGGTTCTGTATGGTAGAACCGAAGAACTGAGAGGCAGAAGATTGCAATCAGCGATTTTGGTAATTAGAATAAAGTAAGCTATAATGGAAGTTACAAACAACACGTTATTTCGGAAAGACCACGAAGTAGTGTATTTGCAAGCCATACTTTATCGAAAAACTTAACAAAACCTGCAAAAGCAGAAGGGAGTGAAAAATAGTAAAGAAGAGAAAAACACTTCTTCTGACTAGGGATCCGCATGGTTCGGTTTGGTTCGGTTCTTGAAGGGAACCGAACCGAATTGTCTAAAGCAAGAACCGAACCGACTAGAACCGACGAGAACCGTAGAACCGAAGAATCGAACCGAAGAATCAAACCCATCATGTATATAAAAAAGGCAAGATTCGGTATCTTTAAATGAAAGCTGATGTGTATGTTCAAATGTCGCGGTATACTTGAATACTGCAGTAAAAAAGAGTAGTTTATTATTGTACATTGAACAGCGATCTCAAAATGAATAAGAGAAACAGAATGTAAACATTCTTATACGATGTGGGTCATTGCAAGGTTAAAAGATGAAAGCACAGTTTTTACAAAAAAAAGTGGAGCTTATAGTACTTACTTAGAGCGACTTAGTATTACTAGTACAATATGTTATTGTAACATTGGAGGAATTGAACCACAACCGCCAGTACATACAGCTGCTGTGTCTCTACGTGTGTATAGTGTATAGTGTCTCATAAAAGGCAAAGGGTGAATGGGTAAGATAATTCTGTTATGAGCCCCAGAATGCGCAATCTCAAACAGAATGCACAAACTTAATAAAACTGATCGAGAAGCCAAGATAAATCTAGTAAAGTAGTACGTCATAGAGAAAAATGCATTGTGGGTAGCAAAGTAGAGGAACAAGTAATGATGTGCGTCATGGGCGGAGAAAGCAAGCTGCTGTCAGAAAAAGTGTTGTTTCCTTCTCTTCTTTACTATTTTTCACCCCCTTCTGCTTTTGCAGGTTTTGTTAAGTTTTTCAATAAAGTATGGCTTGCAAATACACTACTTCGTGGTCTTTTCGGAATAACATTGTTCGTAACTTTCATTATAGCCTACTTTATACTAATTACCAAAATCGCTAAATGCAATCTTCTGCCTCTCGGTTCTTCGGTTCTACTTATACAGAACCAGTTCGGTTCCGGTTCGGTTCTTGACAGGAACCGAACCGTATTTTCTCGGTTTCGGTTCGGTTCGGTTCCAGTTCTATGGTTCTGATACGGATCCCTACTTCTGACGGCAGCTTGCTTTCTCCACCTATAACGCACATCATTACTTGTTCCTCTACTTTGCTACCCACAATGCATTTTTCTCCATGACATACTACTCTACTAGATTTATCATGGCTTCTCGATCAGTTTTATCAAGTTTGTGCATTCCATCTGAGATTGCGCATCCTGGGGCCCATAACAGAATTATCTTACCCATTCACCCTTTGCCTTTTATGAGACACTATACACTATACACACGTAGAGACACAGCAGCTGTATGTACTGCCGGTTGTGGTTCAATTCCTCCAATGTTACGATAACATATTGTACTAGTGATACTAAGTCGCTCTAAGTAAGTACTATAAGCTCCACTTTTTTTTCTAAAAACTGTGCTTCAATCTTTTAACCATGCAATGACCCACATCGTATAAGAATGTTTACATTCTGTTTCTCTTAGTCATTTTGAGATCGCTGTTTAATGTACAATAATAAACTACTCTTTTTTACTGCAGTATTCAAGTATACCGCGACATTTGAACACACACATCAGCTTTCATTTAAAAATACTGACTCTTGCCTTTTTTATATACATGATGGGTTCGGTTCTTCGGTTCGATTCTTCGGTTCTACAGTTCTCGTCGGTTCTAGTCGGTTCGGTTCTTGAAGGGAACCGAACCGAAGCGAACCATGCGGATCCCTACTCCTGTCTCGCCATCACGCCAACATGTTGCTCTCCCTCCAATTCGAATTCGTCAAGAGGGTTAGCGATTCTCCGCTGTGGATCGTCTTCTTCTTCATTTTCTCCGGATCTTGCCGTTACATGGTCTAGTGCTGCTATAAGCTATGCATCATCAAATGAGCAATATTTTCTTCTGTTTCGCAGTATCTGCTCTTGATGTAGACGAGACTCCTCCTCGCAATTGACAAGCAAAATGTCGAATTCTTCATCACGCCAAGGAAAATAAAGCATGAGCAACTCTCAAAAATAATTTGCTGGATCCTATACAAGTCAGTAGCTACGATAGCGGATGACTCTTAGCGATCGTCTTTTGTGGATGTAACCGTCATCGTCCTGAAGTTCAAGCACACCACCAGGAAGGTCATCCTCTAGGTCATCGTCGCTACCGTCAGCGTTGCTCCCACCATCATCATCAATGTTAGCAGCAGTAGCATTATCAACATCATTCTCCTCATCAATGACTGCACCATCTTCAGCAAACTCTTCGCTAGTGACGCTGTTGATCTCATCATTGTCGTCTTCATTGCCTTCATTTCGATTAGCATGGATCGGATTCCTTTTGCTGTACGTGTACCCAGCAGAGAATGTAGCTGAGCAGATACCATTCAAAATGGGATGCTGTGCAGTATAATGATGCAAAACATTACGTTCAAAGCACTCTGTCGATTCCTGATCAACAGCATGCAACTCTCTTTCAGGTCTCAAGATATGACGACGTTTTTTAGGTGGCGATGTTGGTATAAACGTCACAGCGTCGCTGCATACTGACATAGGCAGCTGGAAGATATTGTAAGCTGCCTCTTGAGCAGACACCTCACTGGTATTGTAATACGTGTTTGAAAGTGAGCGTAGCATCTGCGACAGAGACGCGTTGTTCGAAAGATGCTATTGATAAATTTGTTCGATTGTGTCACTTAGCCCTCAATCACTTTTGTTGATATAATCTATCATGTATGTACAACAGGCATATAGATCCAGGACATACTAGATATCCATATTAGCCTGATGTAAGCGAAATATTTTTTTGTTGTACGGGTTTACGAAAACGTCACGAGCCCTTCGTCGAAGATAGACTTTCTCCTTATCCAAAGATGTTTGAACACTATGGGAAATATTTTGACTGCTCGTATACCGCTGAAATCGGCCAATCTATTTCGACTACTAATCTCCATTTTTGACAATTTTGTAGATTTTCAGAATAGATATTTGCAGTCTCTCGTTGTAGATTTCCAGTGTTTTTATACTGGAGCAAAAGTTCACTATGCTCCCGTAATGAACCGTTATATCGATGCTTATAAAGTAGGCTCGTCTTTCATATCTTTGTCCTCATGACAATAAAAGCGATAATCCCATAAAATCATATGCTACTAAACTTTTCTTTTTAATTTATACACCATTTGATTATGCGATCATAAGTTTGTCAACTAGCTATACTATTCAACTTCACTCACACTTACATCATCATTCGAAACAGTCATACACAACACTTTTTCTTACTGACGCTAAGTTTTCACCATCTCTTCGACTTCTTTACTTACGTCAGGGCGCTTTTACATTCAGCTGCGATCGTCGTCATGTATATAATTGCCTTGCTAGTACTGGTTTCTTGTTCATTATCCTTGTGGGGCCGTTTCCTCGACGTGCTTTGTCGTAGGTCAATATCTAAATCACTGCCGTCGTCATACCCTTCGCTTTCCTGGTCTTCCTTTTTCGAATCTATAGAGCTTTCGCTCTCAGTAGATGCACCTGAATTACTTGAGGAAGTGTCTTCATCAGTGTTGCTTGCACTGCTCGTATCATCATTGTCACTAGAAGGGCTAGATACATTACTATTGCTACGACTATATTGGTGCTGATGACAATCCCAATCCTGACCATTGTTTGACGAGCTAGCTGATCCATTTTTCTCGACACTCACATGATCGAAACCACTAACATTCCCATTGGTGCCGTATTGTTCATCTGCTACAGAATTATTATAACACACGCTGCTTTTTTTACCATGGATTAGTCACCCTGTTGATGTCAACGATTAAGTCTTGATACCGACGTACCTTAATGCCTGTTGCTTATGTGGAAAGAGTGCATCTAAATGCTTCGATGTTGTGTTTAACATTTTCCTCAAGTTTTACATGTTCTTCAGCCTGGTACTATTCAGTAGGGTCGCAATAATGAACAATCAGTAATCATAATTTAATTTTTATATTACTAGTTAATATATTATTTTATAATTTAAAATCATTACAATGTTATTTTTTTAATACTTAACTATATAATATATTTTTTTTATTAAAGTATTCAATAATTATTTCTTTTTGTTTAAAATCATTTTCATTAACCCAACTATTATCTCCATATTCATATCCTTTCCATTTAACATAAAATATATATTTTTTATTTTCTATTTTATGATCGATTATCTTTTCTACCTCAAATATATTTCATCTTTGTTAACATTTCTATATTCATATATATTCATACTTTTATATTTATTTTATGACTTTTTTTCCTTTTTTTAGATACATTTTGATATTGAGGAAATTCAACATCTGTTCTATTATTATTATTATTATTATTATCATTTACAGTTTCATTTTCATTATCAACTATCATACCAATATTAATATTTTCTGATCATTATTATTTATATCTAAATTTAGTAATTCTAATTATATTTTCTTTAAATTTGTTATTTTATTCATTTGTTCCATTTGATTAGTATAAATAGTATCTATTAATCTCATTTCATTAGGAAAATCAAAATTATCATTTATCCATAATTTATGATGTTCTTGTACTATATTATTAAATTTCTCAGTAAATTCTGAATATCTATTTATTAAAATACTTCAGTTTTACAATTTAATAACTCACAAAAAAGGAAATCTTTTCAATCTCCTCCTCCTTTCTTTCCTTCATAGTCTCTTTACGCGTTTGATATGTCCATCTGTCTATAATGCTTTTTCGTCGCCATGGCGACCGTGTAACCATTACAGCATTGTCTTCCAGCATTCAAACGATAAAAATATGGCTTCACTATTTACCTCAAACGTAGAATAATGCTGTAAGCACAACAGAGTGTGTAAATATTAAATGCTACACAAAACGTTTTCTCTCACTCTTTATCACAAAACATTCATCTTTATGTCAGCAAGCCACACAGAATACTCTCCACACCTATCCGA